AGCAGTTGAAGACTAATTTATGTTTTGGCTTTTAATTAGTTTTAAGCTGTATCCTGTGACATGTTTGTTATTTTTATCTGTTTTTTTAATCATGTGGTCCGTATGGTTTGATTTGACTGTGAAACACTGTTGTTTTTTGGCTTGTAAAAGGTGTCTATATGAAGTTTAATTACACACCGATTCAATATTTCATAAAGAAATATTTTAATTCACTATTTAACAGATATGAATAGATTAAGAGCGGTGACTGGCTGTAACAAATCCCAAATTAGTGCTAACATGCAGACTGGAGGTGGGATGGTTAGTGGTGATGCAGCATCAAAACGAAATGCTTGGGTCATATTTTTTAGCCTAGTGTGTATGATGTCTAAAACTGCAGACTAATAACATTTTTGTTTCACTCATAATTTGCTTCAAAGCCTTCTAGCTGCATGAAGCATGAAGTGAGCTGGAATATAATTTTGCTCAGAGTACTGTGAGAGTACTCTGCATCATCTATTCATTTTTTTGTTAAAATAATTTCTAGCTGTAGTACATTCTACGGTTTTTGTTTTTAATTAACATTTTGCAAAGAAACAAAAACATTGGCCATACTGGATGCACATCATACTTTACAGATCTTTTCCAATTTGTCACTTTGCAGTTGTTGTCCAAGAAAAAAGTCTTCTCTGAGTGGCCATTAAATCTTTGACAGATATGTGTTAATCTTCTCTCTCAGGGGTCCTTAATTCTGTGTTCCCTAAAAGGCAGCACCGCCTATTCTTCATGAACAGATAAAACAGATTAGAGGAAAGAGACATCACTCACTCAGTGTATGGAGAGGGTGCCGTCATGAACTGTAGATACCAGGAGGACCTTTTCAGTTACAAAGCGGAAGCTATTATAATGAGTCATGACAGGAGGGAGGGCTCTGAAAGATGGTGTAATTTATCAAGAGGAACAGAAAGCTGACTGTGATTATGGGACACACATTAATACAAACATTACAACAGACCCGCAAACTGCATTTAGTATGGAGATAAAACAAGTTCTCATAGTTTGTTTAATTTCTTTTTAAACTTTATTTTCTTGGGTAAAAATGTAAATATTGGTAAAGAGTGAAATGTAATACCTTTTTACTCCTGTAGGTGGAAGTGTAACACTTTATAGAATTTGCAATGCATAGAGTTGCTGAGACCTCCACTAGAAGCCAAGTTATAATGGTATTTAATCAAATCTGTATTTTATAATCAATTAGTTATTATTCAGCAGTTCAGTTTTAAAGCAAGATATAAACATATATAGTAACAACATGGCTAATGTGTGGCTAATGGCTTTGTGTGTAATAAGAAAATACAGCAGCAGTAATAAATGTTAGAAATGTATAACATGCACCAAATAAGACAGCTTCTATAGAAAACCTGTATAAAATTGCAACATCTTATTTATATGACATATAATCTTTATAACAAAAACTTTGTTTCAAAGAACATCCCAACTATTTTTTATTCCTTTTCAATATTTTACTGAAATCGCTCCTTATGTCAGAACCCAGCATATTAATAATATACATACATCTAGTTTTAATCTAGTAATCTAAAATCTTTACAGTAAAGGACAGATCTCCTTACAAATTAAGGGAAATTAAATTAATTAGCAAAACTGAATAGACAAGCAGCAGTGCAAGTTACAAAATACATTACGTTAGAGCAAAATTATATTGTATGAGCATATATATAACATGTAGGATAATTGTAATTTAGGTTTGACTTTTGGCCAATTTAAGCAATGTAATAAATATATACGTATATATACGTGTGTGTATATATATATATATATATATATATATATATATATATATATATAAGTATATACATATATAGTTGTGCTTGAAAGTTTACATACCCTCCCATAAAGGAAAATGAATTCACATTAGAAGTTCAAATACCACAAAACTGAAAAAATAATAAATCAAAATGAAATAAATTCCGATTTAGTAAAATGAAATATTGATTTTGAATTTTAATTTTTAAACATAAATCTAACAAAATGTGTTAGACAACTTAAATTATCCTCCTCTGCTCTGTATGCATGTTGGTCCATTGAAAAGTGAACCAACATGCATGTCTATAGCTGTGGAAGTTTAACTGAACATTTCCCGAAAAATACAGAAAATGGTGGATTTCAATGTATATACACTATATTGCCAAAAGTATTTGCTCACCTGCCTTGACTCACATATGAGCTTAAGTGACATCCCGTTCCTAATCCATAGGGTTCAATATGACGTCGGTCCACCCTTTGCAGCTAGAACAGCTTCAACTCTTCTGGGAAGGCTGTCCACAAGGTTTAGGAGTGTGTTTATGGGAATTTTTGACCATTCTTCCAGAAGCGCATTTGTGAGGTCGCACACTGATGTTGGACGAGAAGGCCTGGCTCTCAGTCTCCGCTCTAATTCATCCCAAAGGTGTTCTATCGGGTTGAGGTCAGGACTCTGTGCAGGCCAGTCAAGTTCATCCACACCAGACTCTGTCATCCATGTCTTTATGGACCTTGCTTTGTGCACTGGTGCACAGTCATGTTGGAAGAGGAAGGGGCCAGCTCCAAACTGTTCCCACAAAGTTGGGAGCATGGAATTGTCCAAAATGTCTTGGTATGCTGAAGCATTCAGAGTTCCTTTCACTGGAACTAAGGGGCCAAGCCCAGCTCCTGAAAAACAACCCCACACCATAATCCCCCCTCCACCAAACTTTACACTTGGCACAATGCAGTCAGACAAGTACCGTTCTCCTGGCAACCGCCAAACCCAGACCCGTCCATCAGATTGCCAGATGGAGAAGCGCGATTCGTCACTCCAGAGAACGCGTCTCCACTGCTCTAGAGTCCAGTGGCGGCGTGCTTTACACCACCGCATCCGACGCTTTGCATTGCACTTGGTGATGTATGGCTTGGATGCAGCTGCTCGCCCATGGAAACCCATTCCATGAAGCTCTCTGCGCACTGTTCTTGAGCTAATCTGAAGGCCACATGAAGTTTGGAGGTCTGTAGTGATTGACTCTGCAGAAAGTTGGCGACCTCTTCGCACTATGCGCGTCAGCATCCGCTGACCCCGCTCCGTCAGTTTACGTGGCCTACCACTTCGTGGCTGAGTTGCTGTCGTTCCCAAACACTTCCATTTTCTTATAATACAGCTGACAGTTGACTGTGGAATATTTAGGAGCGAGGAAATTTCACGACTGGATTTGTTGCACAGGTGGCATCCTATCACAGTTCCACGCTGGAATTCACTGAGCTCCTGAGAGCGACCCATTCTTTCACAAATGTTTGTAAAAACAGTCTGCATGCCTAGGTGCTTGAATTTATACACCTGTGGCCATGGAAGTGATTGGAACACCTGATTCCAATAATTTGGATGGGTGAGCAAATACTTTTGGCAATATAGTGTATATATATATATATATATATATATATATATATATATATATATATATATATATATACATATACATATACACATATACACACATATATAAAATCCCTGTCATAATTTCCAGTTTTTTATCATTGTCATTGTTATTACTTTTGTTCATTTATGTCACTGGCATCAGATTTTCTGTCTTTAATGGAAGGGTATGTAAGGGTATATATATATATATATATATATATATATATATATATATATATATATATATATATATATATATATATATATATATATATATATATATATATATATATATATATATATATATATATATATATATATATATACACTATATTGCCAAAAGTATTTGCTCACCCATCCAAATTATTGGAATCAGGTGTTCCAATCACTTCCATGGCCACAGGTGTATAAATTCAAGCACCTAGGCATGCAGACTGTTTTTACAAACATTTGTGAAAGAATGGGTCGCTCTCAGGAGCTCAGTGAATTCCAGCGTGGAACTGTGATAGGATGCCACCTGTGCAACAAATCCAGTCGTGAAATTTCCTCGCTCCTAAATATTCCACAGTCAACTGTCAGCTGTATTATAAGAAAATGGAAGTGTTTGGGAACGACAGCAACTCAGCCACGAAGTGGTAGGCCACGTAAACTGACGGAGCGGGGTCAGCGGATGCTGACGCGCATAGTGCGAAGAGGTCGCCAACTTTCTGCAGAGTCAATCACTACAGACCTCCAAACTTAATGTGGCCTTCAGATTAGCTCAAGAACAGTGCGCAGAGAGCTTCATGGAATGGGTTTCCATGGTCGAGCAGCTGCATCCAAGCCATACATCACCAAGTGCAATGCAAAGCGTCGGATGCGGTGGTGTAAAGCACGCCGCCACTGGACTCTAGAGCAGTGGAGACGCGTTCTCTGGAGTGACGAATCGCGCTTCTCCATCTGGCAATCTGATGGACGGGTCTGGGTTTGGCGGTTGCCAGGAGAACGGTACTTGTCTGACTGCATTGTGCCAAGTGTAAAGTTTGGTGGAGGGGGGATTATGGTGTGGGGTTGTTTTTCAGGAGCTGGGCTTGGCCCCTTAGTTCCAGTGAAAGGAACTCTGAATGCTTCAGCATACCAAGACATTTTGGACAATTCCATGCTCCCAACTTTATGGGAACAGTTTGGAGCTGGCCCCTTCCTCTTCCAACATGACTGTGCACCAGTGCACAAAGCAAGGTCCATAAAGACATGGATGACAGAGTCTGGTGTGGATGAACTTGACTGGCCTGCACAGAGTCCTGACCTCAACCCGATAGAACACCTTTGGGATGAATTAGAGCGGAGACTGAGAGCCAGGCCTTCTCGTCCAACATCAGTGTGCAACCTCACAAATGCGCTTCTGGAAGAATGGTCAAAAATTCCCATAAACACACTCCTAAACCTTGTGGACAGCCTTCCCAGAAGAGTTGAAGCTGTTCTAGCTGCAAAGGGTGGACCGATGTCATATTGAACCCTATGGATTAGGAACGGGATGTCACTTAAGCTCATATGTGAGTCAAGGCAGGTGAGCAAATACTTTTGGCAATATAGTGTATATATATATATATGATCAGATACATATATGTATGTCATCTGACAGAATACAAAAAAAAATCTCAGAGGAATGATTAGATAACAAAAACAGGATATATAATCTTTTAAAAATTCTATTTTTCTTGCAACATTTCCAATCAGGTCAAACTCTTCTCAACAAAGACCTGAATAATACACTGTATTAGGTTCCATTCTGATCCCAGTAATAGCAGCGATTACAGTAAATTTCCCGTGATGAAAACATAGATCTTGGCTTGGAAGGTGGTAAATTTCCCCTGCCTCCAAAGTTTCATCTCCACGGTGATTAGAAAATCCCTTGGGCCCTGCACCTGTCGCTGTAAGAACACAGCACCTGTGTAGGCATTCAGTTTCCTGGTGCTGAAGAAGTTTCCCTCGTTCCCCTGTGTGACAGTCACAATAACATTGTCACCAGAGTACGCAGAAGCGGGACCGATGCGGAAGATCTGAGCGGGGATGACGATGTTGGATGGGAAGCTGAGGTAGTAGTAGGTGATTCTCAGAGGAGAGTTCTGACATTCCAGGTGGTTGGAACAGCTGATCCGCTCACAGCGCCTACAAACAACAAAAAGGAAAACTCGACATAACAGCTCTTCACTCTAAAATTTTAAATTTTTCAATAATCATAGTTATGTTTTTATAGCATTTAGAGAATTGGGGTAGATATATTTAGTTAACATGTTACCTACAGCAGACAGCAGGTAGAGAGACATGCTTTTGGAGAGTGAGAAGGAAACTAATGGTTAGGCCAATAAACAGCTATTCAGAGCAGAGCCCATTAAAGATTACATTTCTCATATCTAAACAACTAAATCTTAATTGTTCCTGCGACTTCAAGGAATAAATTATTATACATAATAATATCACATATCATATAATATCACAAGTGTTTTTATAGAAATAACCCTAAGAGGGTCAAACCCTATGGGTCAGGTGAAAATTAAGCAGGTATACATTTTAAACCAGTGTTTTTTATCACTATTCTTTCACATCTGGCAAAGAAGCAACACTCCCACCTTCTTCATTGCCTTATATTTTCTTTTATTTTGATGCAACCATTAATAAAGGGTAGTCTTGCTGATAGTAGTTAGCCTGATTCATTTTAGTTACATTGATTTATTAACTAGCATCTTGTGCTTAAGGCTTTTTAAAACTGAGAATGTCATCTGCTTTTGAGAGATTGTTTAAAAGTGCTTTCTATAATGGAAATCCTTTAAAGATATTTTTTAAATGTCCAGATAACTGAATATAAATGTGAAAGACCCTATTTATGGATGCCCAAAATTGCTTCCTAATATTATCACTATATGAATAACAGAATAGTATAGTTTTCAGCTAATTTTAAAGGTATAAGTATGATGCAACAAACCTTTTATCTTTAGCCTTAATTTTCTTAGTCATGCACAAGATGTTATTTTGACTTTTGATCGCTTTTAATGTGATAATATCGCCCCCTGTTTGTGCAGCATATGTATTGATGCTTATCAGATGTTTATGTTATTACAGAGTGAACATAAATTCATATATTTTCCATACATTACCTCATAAAATAAAAAAAGGGCAAACAACAAAAAGTGGGGGAAATCCTCTGATACGGAGAAAACTAAATCAGTTATCCTATTATAGAATAGAAACAATGAATGCTATCTTATGTCAAGCATTTTTCAACATTTTATAAATGAAAATCGTGAACAGGGACTCTAAATGGTTTCCATAACTTACGTGTCTGTCACTTTGCGGTAGTTTGGAGGACAGCTCAAAGAAAGGCAGCGGTATCCTCCTTGGATGTTGTAGCACTTCTCAGCCAGAGAGCAGTTATGGGTCCCAGTGCTGCATTCATCAATATCTAAGCCACACATAGAAAGTATCAGTAGAACTGTTTTACTGCCAGGTGTTTGCTACAACAGGATAAAATTAAGCAAAAAAGAAAGCTGTCTAACTGGAGAAAAAAATCAAATTAGCAAGACAAGAGTTTTAGGCCAGTAAAATTTTATAGCGTGTGTAATTATTGCACCACACTAAGACTACCAATTATATTTAGCAGAAGCCTTACTCTCTACTTGGTTAAAGGTAAATGGCTTCTTAGCAATTTCTAAAATCAATTTAAGGAAGGAACTAAATGAGGCAGATTGGTAAAGAATTGGCTGCAGTAGAGTAAAAATATTCCCATTTAGTCTTGGAAGGGAAGATTAATTCACTTGCCTCTGCAAGATCGTCCATTTGGAGACATGGTGTATCCATATTCAGGACAAGCACAGTGGTAACTGCCTGGTGCATTCACACACCTGTAGGAACACAGGTGGCCAATTCCCTGGGAGCATTCATCAATGTCTGAGTGAGAAAGAAGATAAATTGAATAAAAAATAAAGCTATGAATTTCTCATGAATCTGTGATGAATTTGGTGTTTGCGGTGCCCACCTTCACAAGTGTGCCCATCCTCCCTGAGGTAGAACCCCTTTCTGCAGTAGCACTGGTATGAACCATAGATGTTGGCACACTCCTGATTGCACGGGCTAGCCAGACACTCATTCACATCTACCGATTGGAGGTTAGAGCTCATTAGTGTCATAATTCACATGATCAAAGGATCTTCATTGTTTTAATTATCACGTTTAAACAAGATGTTATGAAGACAGGTCTACTTTTGGGTTTGTTCTCGCTTCAAGGCAGAGCATACACCAAGAGTAACGCAACTAATCAAACTTCCAAAAAACAGCTTTGCCCTTTAAGCCAGACTGTTTGTGAATGTACACAAGGACGCTGTCCAGGCATGCATATTTTCACACAAAAATCCATAAAAAAAAAATAAAAACATGAAGCAACATGAACACACGCCCTAGCCGACTGACATTAACAAAAACACACCTTCACAGTTCTTGCCATCAGCAGATAAGCGGAAACCAGAAGTGCACAAGCATTCATAGGAGCCTGGGGTGTTCTCACAGGTCTGGGCACAAAGACGGCCAGGGTAGCGCCAACACTCGTTCACATCTGAGGGGTAGAAAGGACCATCATCATCGTCATCATGCCTTGGGAAAGGGCACTTTATGCATGTCGACACCAATGCGTGCAGGTGGCGTGTGTTAAAGGGAGGACGTGCACACTTGGTGTCCTGTGCAAAGGTGTGTACGTGTGAAAATCATCTGTCTGCTGATAGTCAAAATATTCAGAGTAGAGTGTATTATTGTGGGAAACACAACACAGTAAAACACGTGTAGAGAGAGAAGAGTGAAAAGATGTGATCTGTAATCCACTCTCATCCTTAAGAGACAGGCTGCTGGACTGGCTCAGAGCTACAATAATAAACAGCATGAGAGGCAGCCAGAAAACGAAATGGCAAACTATATGTACTGTAATGGATGAGTGAAAAAGTCGTTAAGAATTGAAGATAAAAAAAGGAAGAACAGAATAAGCAGAAACTAGAGAAAAAATTCAGAAGCAAATATGATGGTAGCTGTCACTGGGAAGATAAACACACATGATAGACATAAACACCTGTTCATGTGAAAATCTGTTTATGACTATGAACTGATGCTAGTTATCATCATTTTTTCTATAGGAAAAAAAATGGGCAATTAGCTAATAGCATATTAAAGGTACAATGGAGGATTTTCGTGATTTTTTTTTTAAACACCCGCCCTCTCTTCTTAAAAAAAAAATGCACATGCACAACCCTGTACCCATACCTCAGTGGGAACGCTTATTAAACACGTGCAAGAGCATGCACGAGCCCATTTCTCCTCGTGCCCATTTGCAATTTTTCCACTATGTCAGACTCAGAAGTGAAAAGAACGTAGGATGGCCTTACATATACATATCACCAGAATTATTAAAATTAGTAGGACCACTTACTTTGATGATCCACCCGGAAGAAGAACATCCTCCATTATACCTTTAAGTATTATGATTGTAAGAACTTTCTTTATTTTTCATATTGTTATCATTACACACGTGAACATTTAATGTCAGAGTTAATCCATCTTGGGTAATGATCATCAGGTAATGTAACAACAACTTATAACCTATCATGCTAACTTATATTATGATTTAGCTAATATTAACATCAAAGCGAGTTAGAGGTGGGAGATGTTTATGATATGTGTAAATTAGAAAGAATAAGGAAAACCTAAAAAATTATTTCTAAATGTATTCCTTTCCATGCCACACATATAATGGTTAGCATACCTACACACATCCTCCTGAATGAATCATATTGGTACCCAGTCTGGCACTCGCATCGGTAAGAGCCCGGCATATTGTGGCACAGCTGTCCCTCTCCACAGCGATGAAGGCCACTCTCACATTCATTTACATCTAATAGAAATAAACAAAGAAAAGACATCAGAGTCCCAGCAGGAAAATACCTCCAAATATAACATTTAAAAAAAAGATTTTAAGCTTATTTCCCTTTGTCAATGTTGATAAAAATAATTATTCTTTTCACCCTTATTCTAAAATATGTAAATGATAGAATTTAAAGCATAATTAATTGACAATAAAACATAATAAATAGGCCTAAACATTTCTATCTTTTTTTTAATTGAAATTACTAATTAAAACAAAACATGCTAAAGGTTTTTTGCTACATGAAATTAACACCTATTCTGGCATCTAAAATGTAAAATGATAATATTGTTCTTTGTAAAATATTTCAATATTCTAAGTAATATTGGTCTCGTATAACTATGACTTTTACTGGCGGTATCTTTGAAACAACTAAGGTAGAGAACCAAATTTGAGCTTTGCCGTCCTAATTGTATTTAAATTTGCTCTCGGTTACCTCTGTTAAGAAACCAAACGATTAAAGTAATACATAAAGGTTTGGAAATAAAAGAAACTTAGTGATACCAAAAATACATAAATACTTAATTACAACTTTGTGTCAGTGTGCACATTATGTCTAGCAGTGCAAAAATAAAACATGATATGGTCTTATGCCTGTTAATACAACCTAATGCAACCCAGTCATCTTCAAAAATGACCAAACTTGTAATTGGTACAGTACCAAATTCTCATTTGACACAACTGAACAAACCTGCATCATAATATCTAAGGAAACAGCAGAGGGGTCAGGGATATACAGGAAGAGTAAGATTATATTAGATTATAATAAGATTATATGAGAGCATCTACACTCCAATCCTCATACAGGGCACTGAATAATCAGGACCTCATTTTCATAATCAGGTAAATGTAAATAAGTAATCAGCCAAATAGAAGAATAGAATAGAATAGAATAGAATAGAATAGAATAGAATAGAATAGAATAAAATAGAATAGGATATCCAGTTATTGTCCCACAATGGGGAAATTCTGGGTGCAAATACAAATATACAAAGAAGAGTCTGATCACTTAACATGTTTCCTAGTAAGCAAATCATTATTTAGAAGGGAAACCAAGAGTATTATGCTAACTCTGGAGGAGATGGAGAGACCCAGAGCTCAGGTGATGGAAGGATTCATTGATAGAATAACTATTGGTGGTTTAGTTAATAAATGTGTCTTATAGGGAAGAGATATCACAAGAAAAAAAGAAACCCATTTTGAAACAAATTATTTTGTAAGCATATTGGAAAAGGTACTCTGGTCAAATGAGACCCAAATAAAATATACAAAATAGTATGTGACATGAAACTAATACAGCACATCACCTAAAACACGCTGCCCCAATCGTTAAGGCAGCAAGCAGTGAGACAGGTTTTTTTCAGCAGGGACAGGTGGTGTGAGTTTATTAGAAAGATGTATGGAGCGACACACAGCCCAGTCCTGACAGGAAGCTTGTTAGAGGCTGCAAGCCCCGTGAGGTTTGACTTGTAGTGAAAGGTGGTTTTACAGAGTACTGTTTCAGAAGCAGTGTAGTGATATTTAATATTCATGAAAACAAACAAAGAAAACGTAATCATACAAATAACATCACTATTAATTATTTTTTATTGGTCATCACAAAAAAACAACAAGATTTATGGTTAGTTTGTAACAACATGTGGAGAAACTAAAGGATGTGAATATGTTACTAAACCTCTCTGTATTTGTAAGAGAATAATCTGTTGTTCTGCAGATTTTAAGTCTGTACACTAGATCTGATGTGTTTTGCACGCTGTGTAATTGTTGCAAATCTTACCAACACATCTGGATCCATCAGGGCTGGCATGATAGCCATGGCTACATATTATCTTCCTGTTGCAGATGAAGGACCCTGCTGTGTTGACACAGGTAAATCCTGAACTGCAGGCCTGGGTCAAAGTAGCGCACTCATCTATATCTGGTGTGGACACACAGAAAGGCAGGGAAGCACAAGGGAAGAAAGCAGGAGATGGGAGGAGAGTCATGTAGTCACACAGACAAGACATGAGAGACCAGGGGGCATTACTTTAGCCGCTCTGTGCTGAGGTATGAAAGCAAACACAGATCACACAGTCACATTCCCCTGGATAGCTTTGTTGTTGCACTTTCTCCAGTTTATCTTTTGTAACAGCATTTCTTCTACAGTCCTATTATATAGGCGTCTGCTGCCTCTGCATGCCCAAGTTCCTGCCCCTGGGGGCTAATTCCGCAGCATCAGTTTGTACTGGAGGAGGACAGGGGATTGGCTTTTATCCACCCCCTCTGCAACCCCTCACAGCTACGTCTCTGATCTCCTGTCTGTGTGGCATTTAACCCCTCTGCCACTGCACGGCAACTGATTCATCTGCATGGCGTTCATCTGTGATTGTTTGTAGACAGTGAGTCATATGTGGAAAAATGTCTGCACTGATTCACTCATCAGTTTGAACAAAAAGATAAGGAATATCATAATGTTATTTTATCTTTGGTTGGTATCAATATATTAAAAATGAGCTAACTTTACATAAAACAATTTTAATAATTCATCTATTTTTAAAGGATTTCCCCCCATGTTTATAATCCTTTTATATATTATAAAAGTAACAAGAATCAGACTGAGTAAGGAATTAGATGTCAAACGAAAGAGCATGTTCATGTTTTTCTTACCTATGCAGTTTCCCACAGTGTCCTGCTTAAAGCCAGCAGGGCAGAGAGGTTTGGAGTTGCACCTGAATGAACCTTCTGTATTCATGCAGACAAGCCCAGCTCCACAGTTGTGGCTTCCCATCATGCACTCATCAATATCTGCAGCAAAACAAATGGGAAGTCATGAATTGAAAATGACTGTAGTGCAGTATCTCTCCACTGGATGGCACTGCAGCTCAGGAGGAAACTGCATTTCTGACAGCTTGAAAGCAGCACCTTTACAAATTAATCTTGATGTAATTAAAACACACTGAATGAGAGCTTATTTATTTTTTTCATTTGATGATAGTGCTAATAAATCAACACAACAGTGGTCCCACACATCATTCTATCCTTGGAGTCTGTCACTGATGAATGCAAAACACTCCCCCATGAATTATCCACCACCTGTATTCTAGAAGATTTATGTTTTGTCAATCAATCTTCCATATCTGTTGCAAAAGTATTAACTATAACCTTGAGATCTTACAGAAAAATGAAAAACATATATTTTAGATGTGAACGGGTTTACAGGATTTTAGAATTAAAGTGGCTGTAAAGAAACTTTGCTGCTAAAACAGCTGCCATTTCCCACTATTCTATTCTGTTCTATTCTATTCTAATCTGCTAATCTGCCTCAACAGATGGGTCTTCACAGATATTTTTTTTTTTTTTAATTTTAGAAGGAGGAGAGTAGACCTTAACATTTTTTCCAGAACACCCCCCCCCCCCCTCAGAGAGATTAGTTTAATGATTAGGAGATGGGCGTTGGCTTCCCTCACATTTTTCAGTAAAAAAAAAAAAAAAAAACTGAATGAAAGTGGTTTGGAATGTTTAACTAAATCAATCTGTGTTCAACTACTTTGATCTACATACCAAAAATGTCAAGAAGAGGTGATTTAACCATGATGTTAAAGATAAATATATGTATATTTTCACAGATTGTTCTAAACTAATAAAAGATAATGCAGAGGTGTAAAGTATATGATTGCTGTATTATCTAATCCACAGTATAATTTAGGAAACCAATTGGCTATGTGTCACTGTAGAACGTTATACATAGGACAGGTCAGGCATTTATATTTACACTGTGCATTATAATAATTTATAATTAGGAAGAAATCATTGACCCAGAATTAAAAAAGGTGTTTGGTTGATTGTGTCTTTGTTGTAACAATGCTTTTTGAAAACAAACCTCGCATTATTGGAAAACCTTTAACTGTTGCCACATTTGTGAGAAAAATCCATTAGCAGGTTGGACCACAGAGCTAAAAATGTGGGTTTTGCAAATGGGAAAAAAAATGTGCCAAATCCTGTCAGCGGATGCCTAACTGTCTGTTCAACTGTCTGTCCAACTGTCTGTCGCAGGGCAACACAGAGACAAACAGGACAAACAACTTTCATGCACACACTCACATCTAAGGAGAATTTAGAGAAGCCAATTAACCTAACAGTCGTTTTTGGACTGTGGGAGGAAGCCAGAGTACCCGGAGAGAACCCACGGATGCTCAGGTAGAATATGCAAACTCTAACCAGAAACCTTCTTCCTGCAAGGCAGCAGTGCTACCCACTGAGCAATGTGGCACTATTTAAGAAAGAAAAGCTAATGTATAAGATTAATGCCAAGAAGCACTGATATAAGGACAAAATTGACAAAAAAATTATTCCATGATTTCTGAGCTGAATAAAGTTCCATTTCTGACAGAAAAACAGGATCAAATGTAAATTTAACAAGTAAAATAACAATATTCTTAGGGTCAGAGCCCATATTCACAAAGAATCTTTTGGTTTTATCATAGCGGAAAAAGAAATTTGAATTTGAAAAATTCTACAATTTATTTTTGAATTCTACTATGGTAAGATAAAAGTCATTCATACATATCAGGGCAACTACTAGTTTAAAAGAGTTGGAAGTAGTGAGGGGGACTTCTAACTAGCCTAAGAGTGTCTTAAGCAGTGTAGATAAGGAAAACAAAGTAAGCTGATAAGCTGATCCTACTCCTAAGCGATAGCTCTTAAACATCTTTAGCAATCATCACGTTATTAATATGGAGCAGCCAGTTAAAGGTTCGATTTGTGTAGTTTCAGTTCATGGAGGAAGTCAATAACAGGAAAACAATGATAAACAAAGTAGGAAAAATGTACAAACAATATAGTGCAGAGGAATTTCAGTATAATGTGCAGTCTGTAAAATTATCCCAATGATAAAGATTTGGAAAAGAATTGGACAAAGTTGTAGGAAAATGAATGCAGAAACACACAGTCTAGACAAATTTATGTATAATACCATACAAACTATTGGAAAAGGTGAGAAAGTACTTGCTGTATTGTACATGATGATGTCAGTACTCACTGCCAAAATTATAAAGAAAATGTATTATGTAATGCAATCCCTTCTCTGTTTATTTACTGCAAAGCTTCCCATCTTCCAGGCTGGTGCATTAAAGAATAGAAAAAGACACCAACGGAAAATTCTGCTTCTTCGTAATGTGATCCTGGAACCATTTCTGCTTTTAAAACTCACCTTTTTGTCTTGTGGAGCTATGCTAACAGGACATGCTTCTTCTCTGCCATTTTGCCAAATTAAGCGACTTTATACAATCAGACAAACAATAAAATACCTATAGGATTATACATTAATATCAAATAGATAAACTAGTCAAATGGCTAATATTCTCACTTTCAGCCCTCTCCCTCTTCCTTCCAAGTTTCTTTGTGATGGTTGTTTTTGGGTAGCTGTTAATGTTTTGTTTTGATGTCTTTTCAGTTCAGCTGTCTTTTTCTACTAAATTTATTTCTCAATTTCCAGAACATACAAATATGTTTGCACGTTCACATTGTCTCTCTGTGTACATCTGTCACTGAACTAATGCCTTTGTTTTGGCCCCAATGATGACCCCAAAAATTTTTGTGAGGAAGTTTGCATCTGAATTTCAAATGTGCTAAATATATGTGAAATAACTGCAGCCACAATCTTGCAGGTGGTAATTATTACCTTTTGCTGTTCCTCCACACATAAATTTGTGTCCTTCGGTCATTAGAATATGATTAGCATATTGACCCACCAGCAATGTTTGCACCTGCTGTTCTCCTTGTTTTACACATGCAATTCACTTTACACCCAGTTTGTAGACCAGCTTTGTAGGCGCTAACAATTTTGCATGTGTTTTAAAATATGAATAACTTTTAAAGATGAGGTCCTACGTATCAATCCATCCCTTTTCAATGAGGTGTTCTCATTCAGAAGAACCTACTGCAATAGATGTTTGCAGGTTGAACATAGATAGTCCAGTAAGTTGAAGCTATTGTGTTAAACTCAATTAAAAACTATACTATACACAAACATCTATATACTATAGAACTATACACAAATTACTATCACTCATAAAAAAAAGAAAGAATTAAAGATACAAGAACTTATCCATTTGGAGCAGGTACAACTCTAAGTTCGATTTTGTGGTGGCACATGAAAGTAAGACCTTGCATTACAATATCAATCACTACAAAATCAACAGGGCAATACATGTTTTCATTTCTTAAGTTTTAATTTCAATTTTCTTACAGTACTTATTTCACAAAATAAATACAGTCTTTCATAGGATCTTGACTTATGTCTGAATTTCTTTTAAAAAATCTGTTTCTTCAGAAGAGTATCTATTTTGTGTTGCGTAGCAACCTCCATTGGGAGTGAAGATGAGATGCAATCATCAACCTGAACCACGTGACCTTGCCTACAGTTAAAAAAATTGCTCTCACAGCCCATCTGAACCTCCCGTATCATGGAGAGCCTTCTCCCGTGAACATTGCTGCAGCTTCAAGAATGAGGCCCTTTGAACAGACCCAATTTATGGTGCATGAAAATAATGAGACATATTGAGAGGATTACTATCGCATCCCAAGGTCGGGCGCTGCCCATTACTAGCACACAGGCAGACCTTTATTTAGAGTTGACCAAAACAATTGGAGCAGTAAAATAAAGGTCATCAGTGTGCTTTCTTATGTGGGCTGACATTTCAAGTTAAATTATTTGTGTACTTGAGGGTTTTTTTTTATCTAATGTCCACTGTCTAAGTCCCAAGGGAGTCAAATGAGATTCTTTTGAACAATGCACTTTCCTGACATTGTGAGTGTACAGCAATACCAAATCCCCCAGTTGGTAAAATGTTCACAGTAGGTGGAAGTAAGCCCACTGATGCAGCTCAGTGCTGATAAGTTGGGGAGTACCTTCACAAACGTCATTGTTGATGCGGTATCCAGGCGGGCAGGTGATCAGTCTCTGACAGCTGTAACTCCCCCTCGTGTTCACGCAGCGCTGGTTAGACTGGCAGGCATGTGCAGACAAACACTCGTCTATATCTGCAACAACAAATCAAAACGTGTCAGGATACAGACGGCCCTGGATTGTAAGGACGAGTGAAATGATTTAGAGAAAACAGTGAAGAAGATGTACAAAAAATGTCTAACAACTGCATGGTCTGAATGTGACAGTCGGGCGGATAGGAACAGATTAAAGGGACAAGTCTCCTTCAGCCTTCCTTCAAATAAAAGACAAAAAAAAAAAAACAGAACAATGAAATTTGTCACCATACAAGCTCTCTCTGTGTCAGTTTCAACAGCCTCATAATGTGAGGCAGCAGATGGGCCAGTTATGGTTTCAGTCTTTCAAGGTTCTCCCAAGAGACGGCTTGGACAGACACCTCAGTTCTGAGGATGATGGGTTTCTTTCCTTAGGAATGGAAAATAATGGTTTCTAAGATAGTTTGTCTTTTGAATGATTACATATATTATTTCATATCTATTCTAACATCTTTTCTTTTATTTTACCAAAAATAGTCTTTTAAAGCTAGGTGTGTCCTGAGCTTGGCACTGATGACTGGCTTAATTACTCATTCCATTCACCTTTCTCATCACTGCTCATCTGATCCACCTGCTCCTGCTTCTATATAAGAATCAGAATCAGAATCACATTCGGGTTTATTGCCATTGTTAGTGAAGGAGTTCACAACTAGGAATTTTTTATGGTACAATCGTGCAACATGAAACATATAATATGAAGTAGGTAAATAAAAACAGGCGCACGAGAGGACCAGGGCGACCGTAGGTGGCGCCATCTTGGAAATGAGAGCTGCTTGCATCCAGTCATCAGCGGCAGATTATTCTTGTCCTCTCTGGCGAGTGGTGAAAGTGTCTTCAGAGTTCCTTGGGGTTTCTGATTTCCTGATGCAGACCAGTTCTGCCTCTCAACCACTGAGCCTGCCTGTTTCATTCTGAGTGGTTTACCTTAACTGTCTTTTAAATCTCTGAGCCATCCTGTTCCTTTTCAGATCTGTTTGCCTGACCCGGCTTCAGACTCGTGCTTGTTCTATGGGGCTGCAGCCGTGACAAACAGGGTATGTAATGGTCAGTTTCCTGATGCAGAGTGAACTTACATCCAGTGCTTAGGCCTTTTACAAAAATGCTACTACAATGGTAGAATAACAAACATACTCTGGGATGTGTTTTTTCTGACAACATCCTGCATAGTCATAGTTAAAAGAGGATTTAGACGCTCATACAATGTCTTAAAACCTTAGCCCAAATGAGTCGACCAACAGCACAACAATGCTGAATTAGTCATGAAATGGTCTTGAAACAATAAAATCAATATTTTGTATTGAAAGTCCTGGTCTTGTTCTTGCTCGAACTGAAAAGGTATGCTTCATTAAATTGGCTATCAAACTGAATTTTTGTCAGGAGGAATGACATCCTTGCAAAGATATTTTAAGAAGCTTGAAAACACCAGAATTGTACTGAGTAGTCTGTCCACCAGCATTTTTAGTGAAATATAATGGCTATCTATGGTATGCTGACTTTGTCTGAAAAGTTGAAATACTCCATCCATTATAGACTAAGTTTGGGAACAAGAAGAAAACTTTTCCAAAGGGGATTAGAGCTGTATGTCTACTGAGAAAAATCTACAGGCACTGATGAGGTACTGATGAGTGAAAGAGACAACTCGGGGTCAGACAGTCTCTGCGAGAAAACCTCACTGGCTGGAAAGAAATGGGGTATAGAATTATTTTCAGAGGGTCTTGTTCTACTCCCACACCACTTTCAGCAATATACAATCATTTCAGCTCCTTACCTTCGCATGAACGTCCATCTGCTCTGAGGGAGAATCCTGAGAAACAGGAGCACTGGGGCCTTCCCCCCACTGGGGTGCACTGTTGCTCACAGATGTTGCTTCCTGAAAAATATATATTATTGTTTTACATAGTTTTTTTACACCAAAAAAAGACATTCCTACACCAGATCATTCGGAAAATTTTTTCTCGTTTTATAAAGTTGTTATATTTCAAGTGGAACCCTGAAATGGTCTTAAAAGGAAGCCAGTTGAGTATCAGATATTTTATTCCCCGAACTGTTCAGTCATTCAGTGCAATAACTGGGTATTTGGATCCAGCATCAATGCACGCAACATGGACAAGTCTTCCTAGCATATTTTGAGTTTCCAGATTTTGACTACATAGGATTGACCTTCAACCAAAGATACAAAATAGCAAGGAAATCTTACATTGTGCAGATTACAGAACACAAAGTGTTCTTACCCCTTGAACCTTTGAACAGTTTCTCACAGTTCAACTAAAAACTTTACAGTATTTTATTAAGATTTCATGTGAAAGACCAAAACCCTAAATGTGCAAAGTAAAAGTGCGGAGTCCATACATTAAAAACTAGATCATTTGATATCCATAAATAAAGTACAACCAATTACCTTCAAAAGATGGTATGAGTAAATAGAGTTCAGTTGTTCCTGTAATTTCATCTAATTTTGATTCCATCTGGTCAGCTGAGGCTTTAAAGATTTATTTGGACAATAGTTAACTAAATAATCATGATCTATAAACATATGTCAACCTAGGTTTAGGTTATATAACGACATCATACACTTAAACAATCTCAAAGACGACTTTTCAATTCAGAATCAGTCCACTAAAACAGCTATGCATGACTACAAGCCCAGCAAGCTTTTCTTGCAAACACAAACCGATAGCCTTGAAGTATCGATACCCTAGTAATGGATTAATCTACCAATTATTTTAATTTAAAAAATATATGATATTAGTAAATTAACATGCTTCAATAGATAGGTGTTTGGACATAAAAACAGATAAAGCATACTTACAGACAAATATGTTTTTTCCTCTTAGAAGCAAAATGACATGTTTTTTGTTAGTCTTTGATTTATGTAGTACTCTGAGTGGCTTGTTCTTTCAGCAGATTTCGAGCTGTCTATTCTGTTTACTCTAGTTTATGATTATTCCATTCATGAATTTGTCAATTAGATAATAATTTTAGTGACTGCTTAATCACTATTAACCCTATTATTTGGTTTCAGTCCTACCTAGATGAGAAGACGATCAATCAGATCAGCAAAGGCTGAAAGGAGCATAAAGGCTACAACCAACCTGGGTCCAAGGCAGTGGTTTACCTTTTTACAGGATAATGACCACAATTATACAACCAGAAAATACATCCGATAATCTTATTGTGTTAGTATTACCCGGTCAAAGTCAAGACCTACTGTAAATCCAATTGAGAATCTGTAGCAACTCTAAAACACAGAGTTTCAGACAGGCTCTCTACCCAGTCTGACTGAGCTTGAGCTATTTTATAATGAAAACTGGGCAAAGATGTTAGAAATAAATTGCACAAACCTGGTAGAGGCATATCACAAAATACTTATAGCTGTGAAATAACACAGCAAAAAGCTTTGTAGATCTTAAATGATGGAGCTTTTTGAAAATCATGTACCTTTAACTTTATATGCATTATTTTTCTGTTGGTCTACCATAAAGTATGTGACTAAAAGGAGAAAAGCATCAGAGTTCAGTGAAAGCCTTTATAACTCACTGCACCTCGCAAGTGTTTTCCACTTTGTGGCTGGACTAATTTTGTGGAAACCTGATCTGGCTTCAGCCTATGTTTATCTTCTCGGCACATTTAATTAGTTTCAAAATGCCAAAAATGCTCATAGTGAGCCGTTTCTTCTGTAATTAAGCTAAATGTCTAACCTTCACAGGGGTTGAGTGGGACAGAAGGCTGGGTTGGAGGAGGAAGTGGAGAGGGGGTTTCCACTCCTGCTCGATCAAACTCCTTCAGTCTGTTCTCCTCATCGTTGGTCTCTGCACAAACATGAGTACAGACAGAACAGGTGAGATAGATTTTACTGTGATCACCAATCCAACCCCTATATCCTCTACTGCAGTCTTAGTTATAGACTTGTCAAATAACTCCTTATAAATTCAATAATGTGGTAAAAGTGGCTACGGATGAAAGCTGTCATACCAGCGGAGGTGGGGCAGGAAAAAACACTGCCTTCAGACATACATGAGAGTTTAATAGTGAGCCCCATACCTCATGGCAATTGCCTGAGAACTCTGGCATTGGTATCCTGTTGGGACAGGCTTTTGTTGCTGATTAAAGCCTGCTCCATTGCAAAGTAGCTGAAAATACCTCTTAACTGTTCGTCTGAGCAGATGCTTGGATTTTTTTTGGCTTGAGCAAGGATTGTGAGCAAAAATGACAACAAGAAAAAAGGAAACAGTGTTGAAATCTTCAGAAAAGATGTGAGGTTCTATGATCCAGGAACAGGATGGAAGAATAAAAATAGAATAATTGTTATTAGGTCTTGCAAAAAGGAAGGAAATCAAACAGGTCAAAAAAAGAAAACACAATGACAGATGGGATCTATCTGACATGCATACAGGCTGTAAAACTCATTTAAGTATTAAATGGCACAGAAGGTTGCTCTCCCTGTGTGAGTCTGCACCCCTGGAACATGCCAGAGACAAAATACGACCCGTTGTCATTACTTCACTTTACCTCGCTCACAAGTGGTACCGTCCTCCTGCAGCACGTAGCCGGGGCGGCACTCACAGCGGAAAGAGTCGGGCGTGTTGATGCATCTGTGCTGGCAGATGTTCTCATACATCAGGCACTTATCCATGTCCTGAACAGGTCCCTCGACAGTATTCTCACCATCGTGCTCCTCACCAATGGAGAAGGCCTCTTTAGGATATGGGCTGTCTGATACTAAAACACAAGTATAATTACATGTGAGTGGCATCTAATAACTTACAGATGCATCAGTTTGAGAACTGATTATATTTCAGCTTTTCAAATTAAATAAAAAACCTAGATATTATCCAGATTTATTACAAAATGTTATGTCTTTCAGAAGCTAATTCCTGTCAATTTTGATTATCATGGCTTAGGGCTAAAATTCATTTTCTAAAAAATGTCAATATTGCACATAAAATTTAAGAAAGGCTTTAAATACAGTAAAGCAGGAGGTCTGCTTGTGGCTCTGGGGTCTTAGGGAAGCCCTGGTTGCTTAAATACTGTAATGGCAGTCAATTGGTTCTGCTATCAGCTATATATACTATATATCTTATCTCTCCATCTCCACACCAAATACTGGAGGTTTTCTTTAGGGTTCAGACCAGTGTGATGACCATTCAAGCAATTGATATCATAGTAAATGTGTTCAATGATGAAGCAAGAAGTAATATCCAGTTTATCGTCGACCCTTCCTTTAATTCCCACGGAACTGTTCTGGCCCAACTGTGTAACCGAGGCGTTGCTGGGAAGCTATCAGCCGCCACTCTGGGGAGACGTCCTCTTAAAGGTACCTGCAAGTGATCAAATTAAGCTCTGCAAAAATGCCTCTGTTGTTTTGCATCAGAATCATGTAAGTCCCTCAAAGAGCTGCCTACTGGACGAGTGGCCTGGGTTCCTGAGCCAAACTGAATCATCCCCTCCTTTCGATCGAGCCAGCACACAGTAACCCTCCCTTTCCTTTCTTTTTATCTGTCGCTTATTCAGGTTGTGTAAGCTTGGGCGAGGTTAGGATAAATACCTATATTTTGCATGCACTGTGTTTTATTTAGATATGATTTTTTTTTCATTTCAAACATTGATGGGTTTTTTTAAGTAAGCATTCTGAATTGTACCAATATGTTTGACCCGTGGTCACCTGTGGTTATTTAAGCAGTGAACGATTTATCACTCAGAGCCAGAACCACCCTTTTGTTAACACTCGTAGTAACAGAAATAATTTCATTTTGTTGGTGATTAATAACTCTGCTGATAATCATAGTCTATATCACTAAATTAGTGAAAAACGACTGGATTTTGAAAGCCGGTCCAGAACCTCTAACCTTGGGTAAAAGACTAAAGAAGCTCAGTGAATAAGGAGATTACAGTTATAATCATTTAACTAATAATAATTTATTGAATTTTACCTTTGATTTGAGTGGCCTGTTTTACACAGATATCTGTACTTTCTACTCCTTACATTTTTAAAAATTGTCTCGTTACTTTAGTTTTGAATCATTTCAATGGAGTTACGGTTATTATTTTTCACGTCATCAATACCAAATTCAATCTAATTGGATGGGAATCTACGTTGCATTTGACGCACCACTACAAGATGAATCGACAGATTCAGCGGTATTCATTCACGGCAAATCATTGCAGCTTAGCGTTAGCATAGTAGTATGGACGACGAGATGATTGAAAATGAGATCTAGTCTATTGGCAGACATCCATTTAAAATGTAGGCAATGGCATGAAAAAGTGGTTTCTACTTTTACTTTTATACTTTAAGTAAATTGACAAGCCTGTACTTTGTTACTTTTACTTGAGTAAAGACGTTTAATCAGTACTTCCACTTTTACCAGAGTATTTTTCAACACAAGTATCTGTACTTTTACTCAAGTACGGAAAGTGAGTACTTTTGCCATCTCTGGTTATTTAATATATTCATGATCTGCTGGTGAAATTGCATTCGTTAAAGCAGAGGTGCTCTAAAATTTTTTGGTAAAAGGATTTGTTAACTCTTGATTCAGGAAAGCACAGCGGCCTAATCCAAGCAGATGGCACAGATCCATAGATCACCACTGACCATGGAAAACTTCACAAAAGACTTCAAGCAGCTTGGATTCTGTGTCTCCTCACTCGTCCTTGTGACTTTGTTATGTTGATTTCCAAGTTAAATGCCTAATCAGCTCCCTTCTTTTCTCCTTAGCCAGTGTAGGACAGTGCCCTTGGTATTAGAGTGGCTTGACAAAAGCTGTTACAGCATGTCCTCAGTATCTCTGTGTTGTGACTCCTGATTCCTTGCGAGTCTCAAGGCTGTGAAGGAAGAAGCTTTTCCTACTGTAAATTTTCCTCCCAACTCAATCTCCATATGTGATTCATTATAACAAGATTCTAATTCAACGATTAAATTACAGATAACACAGAGAGATGTGGATTTTTTATGTTGGATTTAATGTTTTTGCATTTAACTTGATATTTACCTGTTTATTTTTTAGCAAATTGAGCAAATTATTTCCAGCCAGTTCACTTCTAAATTTGATTCGACAACAAAGTCTCCAATTCTTTCATCCAACTTGCTGCTGGGTACAAGAAACTTTTGGCATAAATGATTCATCGTCATCATCCTCCTAGTAAAACATTTCTCAGCCTTAATCACAAGGCAAAAAACGTCTTAAAGAATTTCTACTTTGAATGTAAGATGAGCCAACATTATCAGCTGGGTTAGGCCAACTCAAATTACTGCTCCACCAACTCCAATGCAGTGAGTTACTGGAAAAGGCACTGAATACAAGGCCCAGCTGGCAGACAGACTGTAGATTTCTAAGAATTACAGCACACGGGGTGAGTGAGGCTATTACATGCACCAAGGTGAAGAGAATTTTCTCCAGTAATTCATTTTAACAACCATTTTAAACTGGAATTTCAAACATCGTCATATATTTTAGATTGCAGTAAAGATTTTGCATTAGTGGAAGTGTTAGTATGTTTTACCTTTTACTGGATGCAGAGTCTGGTCCTCAGCAGGCCTGTCTCTAACTGTTTGCCTCCCCTCAGCTTGTCCACAGCAGTTTAGAAAGACGTGTTGGCAGTGGAAACCCAGGTAGTGGTGGGCTTCACAGTCATGGCCGGCTCTTTGGAAATGCAGCCCAAGGGAGCAGCAACTGCAGCACTCCTGCTGTTCACAAGAAAATGACTTTCATTATGCAGCGTTTAGAGTTTTTAGTTGAGCCTCAAAGAAATCATAAAATATTTTGGCTAAAACTTTAAAAGCTGTGATCCGCATTATATCTTTAGGATTTCAAAACTTTTAAGGAATCTAAAGGCTAGATGTCCTTTGTGGATTTCTGATGGACAAACCCCTGAGCAGACCACAAACACACACCCAGGGGCATTAATAAAATTGAGTGCCCAAGCCCCACATTTTTAGTGAGAGGTTTATCATGGCAGTCATAAAATTCTGGGCAGCAAGCTGTCCAACGCAGACGAACCAGCTTCCTGCCTCCACTTGGAAGGATTTCCTGCTTTCTCTTAAAATGCTTTGAACTGTCTAAGTGCATTCCAGGGTTATGCCTTCATGCCTTGAAAGTGACTACCATAAATATAGCTCAATTAATATTTTATTTCAGAGCCCTGTTTTTTTCTTTTTTTTATTAAATCCCTTATCCTAGGTTTGGTGAAACTGCCTGCCTGCATACAGACAAGTCTGACTGTTGCTTTCTCCATTCTTCTTTTTGATTAAAAAATATCTAAAACCCTACAATAATCATTCTTGAGGTGTAAATTCTCTACATGTCTACATTTTTTGATAAAATGCAGGAAAATAGGAAAGGCATAAAACCAGATCAGTAGTTGAAACAGTAATACTTGATTTCAATATGTTTATGTCTCTAAATGTACTTTTTAACAGATGCAACATTAATTCAGCCCAGCTTCTCCATCATTTTGCTTCATTAGTGATCTTTCCTCCTGCAATTGAGAAGTGTTTCCTTTGTAAACGTTGTGTTCAATTAAATATCAGTAATTTCTCAGCTCTCTTTTAAGACAGACAACCCAGCTAACAAGGCAAAATGCATAATATGAAATTCGTTGTTACCTGGAGACAGTTTAAAATATATTTTCTTGATTACATGCCCTTACCCCAATATATGGTTACCATTGTGCTTTAAATTCCAACCACCTGAAAAATTTGAACATGTTAACGTTACCATTTCAGAAATGGTGTATTTTACTTTTGCAATATGCAACACAGTCTATCTTGGGCAATAAACATTGTATTCCCTAAGAATCCCTTAAAATGAGATCCATTTGTAAGCTTTTATTTTTTAGCCTCCACAACTATTTAGATTGGGACTGTAGATTGAAGCAGTGTTTGTTTGGGGTGCGGTTCAAAAGCTAGCTTCAGGTTTGAAGGTACAATTTTTGGCAAATTGTATTTAATGTATAATAATTGGTTGCAGCTGTTACAAGTAATACAGATTGCGTAATACGGTGCAAGCTACACAGAGAGGCTGTTTGTGGCATTGTTGCTTTGGAGCAAGGCTTTGAATCCCAGCCTGGGATGTTTCTGCATAGATTATACATGTTTTCCTCCTTGGCTTCCTCCCAAAGGCCAAAAAACATGCCTGAAAGGTCAATCGATTGTTCTACATTGCCCTTAGTATGTGTACATGGCTGTTGGTTCTTTATGTTGTCTTGTGATGGATTGGAGACCTGTCAAGGGTGTACCCCACCACTTGCCCAATGACTGTTGGAGATAGTCCCCAGCCCCCCTGCGACCCCGAAAGGATGAGCCGGTATAGACAATGGAAGGATGGAAATCCAGGGCCATGAAAAATAATGGCTGCCTCATCTCTATGTTGCTATTTGTTCACCAAGATAAAGCCTCCAACAAACCTCTGACGCCTTTGCAGGGCTACTGAATTAATTCAGATTTTAGGTGGTCTTCAGTTTCTAAAATGAGGAACCTAAAGAGTTGCTTCATCACGTTTTATTCCCATTATACACCTTAAATTCTGTAGATTTGAAGTAAGAAAACGTGGATCTACATTTTCCCTGGTGTCAAAGAAACAAACAAAGAAATCCAGAGTTGGGTGAGGCCCTAAAATATTATACGCAAGTAAAAGTACCATTACTTCAAAATAAATTTACTCAAATACACCTAAAAACTAGCCATCTAGGAAATTGCTCAAGAGTTAAAAAGGAATCAGAAAAAACCAGACTCAAGTACTCCGCAACACTGATTACACTTGTCTATATGAAACAATAAAAATGTTACCAGACAAAAATGTTGGGTTTTGTGCAAAAAAAGTGTTAACAAATAACATGATTATAAAATAACAAATTCAGACAGAAGGAAAAACTTCCAAATAAAACCTTTTCCACACATACCATATGATACACATATGATAACAGTCGATAATGTATTAGAACAAATGTATTTTAAATCAAAATTTTAAACAGATCTTTAAGGGAGAAATGGAAAGTGTGCAATAACTTGGTGTTCTGCTTGTTGTTTTAGTATTGCATGTTATTTTTATTTATTTTTAATTCAGTATGTAACCTACTTGTGCATATTAAGCTGGTATTTGTTTTTGTGTATTTATTGTTATGGCAGCCACTACTATGCACTGTGAACTTGGGTCCATGACAAATTTCCCCTATAGGGGACAATAAAGTACATTCTATTCTATTCTATTCTATTCTAGAACAGATTAAAGTACCTTCAGTTACAGTATCTGCTGTTCACTGTTTATTGTTTTTCTATCTAATTACTACAATAGGCTTAGAAGATAGAAAGTAAGATAAAAGCAAAAGAGCAAAAGTAAGATAAAGCTTATCTAGAAACATTAATATTATCTATAACAAATACTTCATTGTGCATTTTTGTTAAAAACAAGCTTTTTTTTTCTTTAGTTAAGTTACTCTTGAAGGGCAGAGTTTCAAAATTTCTACTCAAAGACAGGGATACTTTATAATGCTTTTACTTCTTTAAAAATAAAGGTAAACTTTAAGTTCCAGAAGTATGTGACAAAGAAAAAGTAAATATTCCCTACCAATTTTAAGTGAAATGCCCTTTTATCATAATTCCATAAACTCTGGATCTAATAGATAATAAACTCCCGGCCATGTCTAGACTGAGATCCAGAATGTTATAGGACCTCCTCATAAGATATTTAAAACCGATGCTGTAAAAGTTTGGAAATTTGAAATTCATCTTCATATATTAAAAAGTCATACCCATTAACTTACACTGTTACAGGACATAACATACCTTAAGCTACTAGATTTCTGCAGCTGTCCTGCAAGTATTACTTTTGCCCTCAAAGAGATACAGTGCATGTGAAGTGATGAGGTACGTCGTTAAATGAGCACCCATGGGAATGTTAAAAAATGACATTGAATATACCTCAGCCACATAAGTTAATATTATATATTTCCTCGCTTTAGAAAGATCAGTTATGAGATTTTAGGGGCTTTTACAATGGAACCTGGTCCTGCATACTCGCCTTGTAGGAATCTGTCCCACATTTACTGCTGGCATCCTCTCCACAGAAATTTCCTGCTCTGGCTGCTTCAATTCCCGCCAAGCACTGGCGTTCTTTCAGAGAGCCGAGGCAGCACTGTTGTTGGGCGGTTCTAACAGAGAGAGGCACACATGAAAAACAACTTCAGACCTTTCTAGACAGCAACTGTGTCCCTACAGGAGGAGAAAGAGCCCTCGTGAGGGCTGCCACAGAATTAAACAAACTAGAGTTTCAAGTTTCTCAAATCAAAAGTAGAAGAAACTTATAAAGTTGATGAATATTTCAAGAAGCCTAAATTAACAGTGGATGGTATGGTAATATATTATTTTTGTTAAAACCCATTTTTTCCATTATATCAACTTGTTTCTGTGTTCAGCGTATGTATGTTACATAATGAACTCACCGACAAATGGCACGCCTGTCATACGTGGGTGGCTTCATGTTGCTGCAGTGGTGATTAGTTGAAGCCCATTTCTCCCCAGCCTCACAGCAGCTCCTCACCAGGTCTTTGACAGATGCTGTAATGAAACAAACGGCTCCATTTCAGTCTTTCAGTGCACCAAGGGAGCAGTGCTTGGTCCTCTTTAAAATTCTTGTCAGTTTGTCTTGTATGTTGCTGAGCTAAAGGCAATTTTCCACTCGGATGGACAATAAAGATTTATTCTACTCTAGGATATCCTACAAAGACAGGGAAAATTGCTTACACAAATTAAAGTATGTGAAATCTCAATTCATGAGATGCTGTAGTGATACCAGCAATACAATTTTATCTCATGTGTTTCCATATTATTTGGAAAACTGCACAAAGAGAACACCAGGAATTGAATGTGTTGTTCTTTCGTGGCACCTACAGTAAACTCCAAATATTTTCTACATGGGAGCATGAAAATAAAAAAAGTTTTTTTTTGCTGAGAAATCTTAATTGATTTAGGCCTCATAAACTTTGTTTTTTGGGGAAAAATTGCACAAATATATAAAGGATGACATTTGGTTCCTGTGTAACCATGAGACAAACAATCCACATGACTAAGAAAATAAAATTATTTTTTTAATGTTTATTATGGCAATCATTTATTTAGCAAACACTATTTCATTTCATTTTAAACTTTTCTGTTTCGATCCCAGTGGGAAAACGCAAACAATTCAGATTCAAGGCAACCTACTGATTTTAAAGGGAATTTCTCCAGAGTGGAAAACACTCAAATGGAGAGTCCAACCATTCTGACAGTCATCCTGCAAAAAAAGGGAAAGAAATGCAGCTTTTGAACTTTCTTCTGGCTTAATTGTCTTCTTCTGATGGTCTGTTGCAAAACAAGCTTTGAATGGGGGCACAGGCCCAAAGGCGGGAATAATTCACCCTTTTTTTTTTACAGGCAACAAAATATCTGTAAAAAGACTTAAGTGGACAAATATTTTATTGCAGTCATATTACAGTGTAATATCTCAATAATTAAAAAGTAGAAAAAACAGACCTAACTGTTTCTAACCTAGTTTTGAGAAGAACGGCCGAGACATTTCTCTTAATAATACATTTTAATGAAGCATTGTTTCTTTTAGCCACTCTCAGGTAGAGACTTGTTGCCGACCTTTATAAGTCAGGTAAGGCCCTCATTAAAATAGCTACTGACAAAAAAATACCTGCATTTAAAACCAGAATAGTAATTTAAAAATTTTTTATCCTGTCAGCACACACAATGATCAGTGGTGAAGGATCCATTATGCTGTGGGATTTTCTCCTCGTCCAAAGCGTTTCAGGAATGCATAAGTATAACATCTTGTGGCCCTCTGCCAGAAAACTGAAAATGCAATATCATAATGTCTTTCAGCAGAATAATCCAAATTAAGCCTACAGGAGGCAAAAAAGCAAAACATAAAATTTTTTTGGCAAAAAACTTAAAACTGATTTTTTTTTTTTTTCAAGAGAGTCCCTCCACATCTGCTGACAGTAATTTGTGGAAATCACGATGGGGCAATGAAGTGTGGTTATTTCATGGATTTAAACGCTCTGCTTGTGAGCATTGTGAGCATTTCTCTCTCTTTGCGACACCCTAGGACACATTCTGCTCAGTAACTGGATACTGCAGCAATGCTTTTATTGCAGGTATTACACATTGTAGCAAAACTAAAACTGAAAATGACAAACTATTTGACTCTTTAGAAAAAAAAATTACATCCTGGTTTTTCAAATACTGAGACTTAATCCTTTTAACTGGATTTTAACATCGTCATAGATATTGCGTTCTGTAGATGGCCTCCAGGGCAAGAGACCTCATACAGTGCAAACCTTGAAACTCTGAATTTAAACTTTAAAATTGTTAAAACAAATGGGAGTTGAATCTCTAAACTGTGAAAAGCTGAAAAGGAAAAAGTTAGAAGAAAGATTAGCTCTTATTACCAGAAATCTGCTGAAAAACTATTGGAGCACGATAAGTATAATTTAATAGAACTTGAAAACAAACTGGAAATCTTATATCAAAACAAAGCCCTAGGTGCCTTTGTTTGATCCAGGAAGAGATGGCTAGAGGAGGGAGAACAAAATCTGCTTATTTTTTTAGGCTTGAAAAATATACAGATAAAAAACAAACCCTAAATATCAACTAAATATGATACTATCGCCAACAAACCAAGACCAATTTTAAACTTTTGTGCCAAATCTTACTTTAACGTATACAGATTAAAACATAATGACGTGATGAGATTTCACTATCTTTTCTTTTCAAATTCAAAACGTGAAACATGGAAACAGTTGTTACAACCCATTTAAGGTAGACGAGATCTCTAAATGTATTGCTGCACTACAAGCCAGTAATAGTACCGACATTTTATCTACAAAGTTTTATTAAACTTTTTTCTAGCCCTGTAGTTTCTTTTCTTTTACAGGTATCCTCAAAAAGAGGTTGACATGGTATGTACCACACTCAACATGGATCAGAGGAAGCAAAGTAAAAACTGGTCTCAGGAGATTAGAAAGAAAATTATACCAGAGCTGAGACAATAATTGGATTAATCGTGATTAATCAATTATTGAAATAATCGTTAACTAATTTAGTGATCGATTAGTCATAATAGTGTAGAAACCCGAAAAATGCATTTAGCTCACAGAGCAACCTTAGAGCAGTAAATATTAACAATATTTAAACATTTTGTTTAAAATAAAACAAAAAAAGTTTTATTCTGTCAAAAGGTGGAAACGTTTTAGTTTCACCTGGTTTAATTCTGTAAAAAATCTTATTCAAGGAACCTTTTGCTATCCGATTATTAATCGATTCAACTAAAACATAATCAACAGATTATTCGAATAGCTAAATAATTGTAAGCTGCAGCCCTAAATTATACAAAAGCATGTTTAAAGTAAAGGCAATAAGACCATCTCCAAGCAATTTGATGTTCCTGTGACTACAGCTGCACATATTATTCAGAAATTTAAGATCCGCGGGATGTTAGCCATCTCAATGGACGTGTCCACAGGAGAAAATTTGATGACAAATCTAAAAGAAGGATAATATAAATGGTAACAAAAGAGCCCGGAAACAATTTTATAAAGATCAAAGCTGTCAGTCATTTTTTGAGCCAAAGTGGACATTGTTAAATCATAACAAAGCCAGAATGGAGTTTGACAAACTACATGTAGACGAGCCACAAAGCGTCTGGTAGAATGTTTTCTAGACAGATGAGACAAAAAAATCCAAACCTGCCAAGGCACATCAGCTCTTTGTTCACAGACAGAAAAATGAAGCGTATCAAGAAAAGACTACACATCCAAGAAACCTCCAAAAATGGCTAAGAGGAAAACTTTGGACAACTCTGAAGTGGCCTTCAATGAACCCTGACCTAAATCATATAGAAGATCTTTGGAAGGAGCGGAAATATGCTGTCTGGAAAAGACATCCTTCAAACCTGAGACAGCTGAAGCAGTTTGCTGATGAGGAGTGGACCAAAATACCTGCTGAGAGCTGCAGGAGTCTCACTGACAGTACAAGAATCCCTTGATTGCAATGATTGTGTTAATAGGTTGTGCAACAAAACATTAAGCTAAGGGAACCATCAATTTTGCCAAGACCTGTTTCTTGAGTTTATTGTATTAAGTATTCTGTTAAAGATCAATTACTGACTTATATCTGCTTATTTTCATAGAACTTTTTTTTTCATTTATTATTATTTTTTCAGATTAAAGATGTTGCTGTGACCGTTTACTTTTCAATCTTTGAATTTTTTTGTAATGGTGTAAGTCCTAAATTGTAATATTAACCAAGGCGGGTCCATTCCATCCTAATAATTCCTGTTGTTCAAAAATGTGTACAACTTATATTTCCAGTGGTACTGTAAGAGGTTAGTTAATAAAGAGCTTATCATTATCCAGTTTGCGGATAATACCGCAGTTATTTAGGAAATTAAAATCTGATCCATCTTCTCTTAGATGTAATAAGTGTCTGTTTAAATATAATGTCCACGTTAGAATAAAAGAAATGTGAATTAAAGACTGTTTAGCGAATGGTATACATGTTATCTCTGTTAAACAAGAAGTCAAATACCTTAATTCTCTAAAGACCAAAAGGTAAGATGCGGCTCTAATTTTACACCAATTATGCAGAAAATCAAAAATAAACTTAGCAAACTGCTGCAGAGGGATTTATCTTTAAAAGGTGGAGTACTTATTGCTAAAGCTGAAGGATTATCCTGATTTACAAATGCTGTGCTTTCCTTAAATTTACATAATGAGATTACTAAAGAGATTGACAGTAGTACTCATAATTTTATAAAAATATATAAACTGTACATATTATATAAAAAAAACGCATGAATCAGGTAGGCTTCATCTTATAGATTTCTCTACTGTAAATATCACCCTTTAAATTCATTGGGCTAAACAGTTTCTTAAGAACCAAACTTCTATCTGATGTAGTTTTTTGTGATTTTATGGGATAAATTTTAATTTAGAGTTATAAGTACAATGGGCTGAAAATGGCATATTTGCTGTTCTATGAGCCCTTTTAACCAAGCCTGGTTAAAAGCCCTAGAATGAAACGACAGGTTCTCTTCCTTTTATGGTATGCTCATGAATATTAAGATGAGCTGTGCGCTGATTGGTTAGTTTACAACAAGCGAAGCTGCTGAGCAAAGACGCGTCATAGCAACAAGCAATCACTCACTGAAACATCAAATTGTTGATATGATAGGGTGACCAGACATCCTCTTTTACCCGCACATCTCCTACTTTTCATGCCTAAAAAAATTTCCAGGGGGAATTTCAAAACTGTCCAGGATTTTGGTCAACTACAGTGCAGACTGTAGATGACTGGACAGGACCAGGCATTCGAACTGAGCCATGAGCTCCGGGGCTGGTCGGCCTGGACACGGTGGCCCGTGAGGAAGGCGGGGGGAAGCATACCGTCACCGGGTCGGGTTCGGTCGCTCCGTGCCCAGCCGCCGGGGTTCCCGGACCAGCCCCGGAGCTCGGTGTGAGTCAGCGGCCCACCACAGTTGCTGTATCATGGTGGAAGTTTAGAATTGTGAGATT